AGCCCCGCGTGCGCGTGCGGACGCCAGGTAAGTGCGCAGGGCGGGGCCCGGGGCAGGCCGAGGAGGCGCCCAGCTTGGCCTCGCAGAGGGCTGTTGGCTCCGAGCGAGGTGGGGCTGCATAGCGGGCGCCCTAGGGACCAGACACTTCGGGACCTTCGGGGAGAGACTTTCGGGCTCCCTATGGGTCGAGCCACGCTCCTGACGCGGGTACTCCGCTGGCTTGGGATATTCGGAATGGGAGCGTCAATAGAAGGCGGCCGAGGGCAGCCGGTTCCCGGGCGCACAGGACTGAGGGGACGCGCGCCCTGAAGGTGGACGTGGAGGGCCGGGCTGCGGGGAGTCGCGCGGTGTCCGGGTGAGAGCGCGTGGCGGGGGCGCACGGCCCTAGCCTGGTCCTGGCCGCCTCCTTCGCTCCAGAGTCGCCGCCCCGGGTCGGAAACAGCAGCACATTTGCGGATCGCATTAGGCCAGGCCCTTAATGCCTTCTCCAGATGGAGCGAAGCCACCGACCCGCCCCCGGACACCGGCTCCGCCAAGGCGCCCGCTAGGCGAGGCGAGAGTGGAGGGTGACCTCGGCTTTTCCAGTCTCGGCTCATTCTGATTTCCCTGCGAGTCTCCGCTAAGCTCTGTTGGTCCGCCCTCGCCTACTTTTAGGAGACTGCTGGGCCAGCCTGGGCTTCGCCTTCCAAACCTCCCTCCAGTACCTCAGCCTTGGGAGCTGCAGATCCGGACCTAGAGAACGCCTGGTGTCGTCGAGTGGAAGAAGGCCTGCCTTCCAGTCCTAGAATGTCACTCTTGCTGTGTGACCTTAGGCAGGTCCCTTCCTTCTCTGGACTAGTTTAGTTGGTTTCAGACCTATTTTTGCCTCAAGGAGCAGCAGCTGGCAGGTGCTCCAGCCTTTGGCTCTCCGGTGGCTTCCTGTGTCACATGCCTGTAGCTACACCCTGGTGCTGACAAACGGGCTATGAGGCCGCCAGGGCAGCCATGTCCTGGCTTGTGGGGGGCAGTGACAGAGTGGTGCCCACCACGGAGGCAGGCTGAGCTCCTCTCAGCAGTAGGGAGCCCATCTAGAATCAGCAAGATCTTCCCAAGACAATAGGTATCTGGGCTTCCAAGCCACCCTCCCTCCAATATGCTTCTTAAATCATGGGTGCTGGCGTTGAGGCCAGAGCTGGTTGGAAACCCACTCTTTCCTTTTTTGTAGGCTGTGAGTGGTACCCTTTAGGAGGCTGGGCTCATGGCTTCCTGGAGGAGCCCCAGGCTGCTGCTGGTATGGATGATCTTCACACATTCTGCTCTCCTGCAGGTAACAAGGAAGGGGGATGGTGGGCATTTGGCTGTTCTCACAGGAATGTTATTTTGGACCAAGTAGATGTAGCATAGTTATATAGTGTTGACCCTATACCAGAGAACTGAACTTTTCCTTTTGTCTCCAGCCTATGGTATTTCTGGTGGGTTTAGCTGTAAGGATCATCCCAATACCTTGGGTGTCTGTAGATCCTGAGCAGGGCCTTGATGCCACTGTGGATGGCATGCAGCCATGAGAAATCTGGGCTACAGTACACCCTGTCTTGTGGGCTTGAATGTCTGTCTCTGCATGCGCATTGGTGGCTCTACTGCTGGAGGCCAAGGTGAGAGGAGTGGGTAAGGCCAGATTCTTGTCCTAGCTCAGCCACTGTGTAAGTATTCCTTAGCATCTGCTAACATATCCTACTGCTTTTGCTGTCATCTCTTTAGACTCCTGTCTTGTCCATTCAGCTTAGCAGGGCTGAGTAAGGCATGGCATTGTTATTTGCTTACAAGGCAGACTCAGACAGAGGAGTGTGGCTCCTGTTGCCTAACAGATAACAGAGAGTGGTAGAGACAGAGGCAAAATCAGAACACATGCTTGGCCCACTTAAGGCAGCCTCTAGGCCAGCACTTGGGGTACAGCTTGGGAGTGGAGCACTTGCCTAGCATGCGTGTGACTCTGGGTTCTATCTCCAGCACCACAGAGTACAGCCTCTACGCCCTTTCAGCTCATCTTTGCTCTAAGTGGGAATGCAAGCCCAGGATTGATGGATTTTACTTTTCAAGACGGCTGGATCATCCAGATTTCTTATAAAGTCTCCTAGTTTACAAAGTAATGAAAGCCAGACAAATGTTTGCAGCCTGGATTCAGCCAAGTGTGTGGCCCCAGATCGAAAGTGCAGAGCACGTTAGGGTTGATCCTGTGTCCTGAGGGCTGCTGCAGCTGCCTCATTGTGCAGCGTCTTGTGTGAATTAGAACATGACTGTCCCTTTCTGAAGATGTAATTTCTCAGGCACATGGCCTGCTGGGCTCTACCCCCTCAGGACCTAGTGGAGGGCCTGGCACTGAAGGGCTGGGAAATAAGCCTGCATGCACGAGGATAAGTTAATCAGACTTCTCTGCCTCAGGTTTCACTCTCCTGGACCTCAGCTTCTGAAGCCTCTTTTTGCTCCAGTGCCGCATGAATTCTGTGACTCACAGAACTGCTTAGCAGGGAACATCTTCTTCCCCAATATTCCATTTTCTCGGTGCTTCCCTGGAGCCATACTTGAGTAGCTATCTTTTGTTACAATAAAAGCCAAGTATCTTCAGGGTGACCCTAGCATTTCCCTGGCAAGGTAGAGTGTTGGGGTGAAAGCATGTGGTCCTATTTTTCTGTGGCTTTAGAGGAGCTGAGGCTGACTACAAGAGCATCAGAGGTTTGTTCCTGGTCAAGTGGGGCTGAGCCTTCAAGGCACAGTGTGTCACTTTGCCTTCTTTCACCCTATAAAATTTAAATGTGCTTTGAGGCAGTCTGCTGACCTTTCGCCAAGGGCAGCGTTTGCCCAGCTTGACTCACTCACAGACCTTTTTGGATTTTTCCGTATCCATGAGCCTGGGGTGGTGCTGTTTCATAGCATAAAAGGAGACTCCAGAACAGTGGTCACCATCATCCTTTTTCTTCATGATTGAACCCCAGACCCTCCCCCAACCTCAGTACTGTGTCACCCAAACATCGCTGCCACCCACCTCTGCTCCATATCTGTCGAGAGGAGGCAATATTAGTGTCTACCTCGCACATGTTTGGAGGAGTTAAAACACTGTGAAGTGGAAAAAAAGCGAAACATACTACAGTACCTGGTGCATAGTAAGTTCATAGTACATGCTGCCTGTCCCTGCCGCTGGCTAGCATTAAGGTTTGAGTGAGCAGGTTGCCTGTATTTGCTGTGGTGGGGCTGTAGGGAGCACTCCTGAGGCATCCGGTAAGCAGAGAGATGCTGCAGAGGCTGAGATATGGGGCCTGAGCATCTCAGGGAAGTGCCTGCAGGTATAACCAGAGCTGGCTCCCTGGGTTTTCCCCTAAGTTAGCTGAGGTTTAACATGAAACTGCCCCTCGGAAGTATATTGTGAGTTTGGCTTCAGGTGTGGGTGTCTCGCTGGCCTCGTGAGTGCTGCCACCAGGTGGTTGGTAGACGACTAATAGCCGGAGAATTTCAGCAGCCAGGAGTATGGATTTCCAGCTAATTGCTAAAAGTAAGATTTTCCCAATTGAATTATACATTCACTGGCAATAATTGATAAGCTGCAGAACAAGGTATGAGGCTGCAGGCCCTTGTTTTCCTACTCCTTCTTGGCCATTCCTGGATGAGCCCACTGACCTCCTCTCCCAGATAGCAGGCAAGACCTCCCTTCTTCCTGTTTCACAGGCTCTGGAAGCTTTTTGTTGCTTTGGGCCTCTCCTTAGGGATTCGATCTTCCCAAGGAAGACAGCAGTTGCTGCTCCAACTCTCCCTTCCAGCCTGATGTATTGAGAGCTTTTGAGATTTTCTTCCAACACCTTGAGGATGAATCTTGCATGTACTGTCCTGCATTACAACTTGTTCCTTTTTGATCTTGCCTGGAAGAATAAATGACATTCACTGTCTACTCAGAGAATAATCATAAGATAGATTCTCAGTTCTCTGGCAAGTCTTTCTAGAAGTGGTTTTAACTTTGGACATGTAAACTTGCTATTATCTTTTCAAATAATCAGATCAATGTGGCTTCATGCGTACCTGAGTGGTCCCTGGCATGTTTTCCTCTGGAGAGGTGCTGCACTGCTTGGGTTCTCTGGCAGGTCCTGTCACCCCCATCTCCCTTGCCTTGGGTGGGGCATTTTCTTCTGAAAGGTGATGCAATCTTTGACTGTCCTCCCTTGCCAAGTTTGTAGACATCAACTGGAAGAAGTGTCTGGAGGTGACAGTTTTGAAAGGCAGGTGAAAGACTGGGAGGAATTTGACACTATCAGGACATAACCTGTAAAAGCAGTATCTTGAATTGGATCAGATCCTATCTACTGGGTCTTGTGAATGCTTGTCTCCTCTTGTGAATGGTGTCTCCTTTTGTTTCTGATTGTGAGGTTAGAGACTGGACTAGGAGACTGACCCTGCAGAGGGCTTGGAGGTAGGATGGCCCTAGCATGGTGGTGAGTGTGTACCCATGTGGTCCTTGCCAGCTTGATCATTAGAATATAAGTAGAGCTGTGGTGCAGAGAGGGCGGAAGCCTTTGTGATGTATGGTAGGCTGATCCCTGCAACCCATAAAAATGCTCCCTTATATGGCAAAAATGATATTGCAGATCTGATTGAGGATCTTGAGGTTAGGGGTATTATCCAGGGTTGTACAATCGCAATAGTTCTTATAAGAGGGACATATGACAAGACAACAGAAGAAGTAGAAGATGCTACCACAAAAACCAAAAACTGGAGTAAGATGGCCAGGAGCCAAGGAATGCTGGCAACCTCTAGAAGCTGAAAGAGGCAAGGACCATTATTTGCCTGGTGTCTAGAAGTAACTGGCCCTGGTTGGTGACAACTTGATCTTAGTCCTATAAAAACTCTGAAGATTTCTGACCTCTAGAACTATAAAAGTATAGCTTGGTTTTAAGACATGAAATATGTGGTAATTTATAGGATCAATTGCCAATTAAGTAGATCAGGGGTGTGCTTTAAACCTTGACCTCTTCCCCCTGGCCAGCAGGCATCCTTCTCCACTGCTCATAACCCAGGTACAAACCCAAGTACACAGCTACAGAGAACAGGCATGAAGATAGGAGACGTGCTGGTGGCCTATCCAGTCTTCTTTCACAACACCCTTTTGCCCCATCCACAAGAGTCTCACCATCCACTTCCCCCATTGATGGTTGCAACTTCCCCCAATGGAGTTGCCATTGTCCTTGTTGGTCCTTGTCAGTGAGGATGCATTCTCCTTAATCAGAAGCCATAGCTCTCGGACACTTCACAGAAGTCTTGACTCAGACATGACCCATAATTTCATTTAGGTCACCATGGATTTGGCTGATGTTGGTGCGTTGTAGCTTGAATGTCTATGAGGATTGATCCCTCTCAGGTGATTTGTGAGGTTTGGACTTCAGAAAGACACAGATTTATTGAGAAGTCTCAGCTCAGTGGGAGTATAGCTACATAGCCAGTCACTGGTCCATTGTCAAATTCCCTTTTTCCACCCATGGGGTGTCCTACTCTGACTGTTAACAGCCTTTCCTGCTCCCTCTGGCCACTTGGCAGTAGATGCAAGCCCTTCAGAGGGCTCTGCTGGGCCTCCCCTGCAGAGGCGGTCCAGCTCTGGCTTGCCACTTGCTGCTGAGGTCTTCTCATCCAGCATTCAGCCTGATTGGGGGTTGGGGAGGATCTGGCAAGAGAATTTAAAGCCAGCACCTCTTGCCACTGTCCAGTTGATCTGTAGGAAATATGTGCAGCAGGCATTGTGGGAAACCAGGATGCTGCAGTGCTGCCTCCTCTCTGTCTTGCTGACCTCTTCCATTCTCCTTTCCTTGCTCTGGAAGGCTCAGGGACAGCGGAGCAGCTCCACAAAGCAGTAGCTCCCATCTGGTAAATGGAATACGAGCTTGCTGTTGCAGGCACCCAATCTCTTCCTTTTCTTCATTTTCATTTTTTAAAACATACATGTGCTTATTTGTTTGTTTGTTTATTTATTTGGTTCAGGGTCCTGATACACAGTTTGGACTCACAGTGATCCTCCTGTCTCAGCCTCCCCAGTGCTGGGATTACAGGCACATGACATCACGTCTGGTTTCAGTGGCTGGCAAGGTGTACCCAGAGTTCTGGGGCTGGCATGGCATGCCATACTGGGCATTGAACCCGGGTGCTTGTGCTTGCCAGGCAGGTGCTTGGACCACTGAGCTATCTCCCCAGCTCTTCATTTTCACTTTTTAACATGTTCCATTGTACTTATGTAGCATAATGCCATAATATTGTAGACATGTGTTTGTTGGACACTTGGGTTGTTCTGTTCACTTG